TCATGACACTGATATCTATCTATAAAACATCTAACAGAATTCCAAGCATTTTTGAAATTATCAAAAGACTCAATCAGAGAACGCACCACATCTCTGTGTGCACCATTTTGCTCTTCACTGGTGATAAAATCGCGGAAGGTTATCTGCTGCGCTTTCCGTCGTGTCAGACAATATGTCAATCGACTCGTTAATGTCTGCGTAAATTTAACAATTGGCCATAGATGTCTAACTAGAGACAGCTTCTCTTCGTATTTGAAAAACACGTTAATGAACGGGAATGCCGCTTTGTATTGTTCCTTATTTGCGAAATAAGCCGCAAAACTTTCTCTATTCACATCCACAACCTTTCTCCATAAACGTGGCAGATGATTCTTTGAATACTCGTCCGTCAACAATAACGTTTCGTTTATCTCTGTTTCAAGTAGAGCGGCTTTTTGTTTCTCCTCTAGTTCAGCTCTTTCCATTTTTGTGCGTATGTCCATTGCCGTTGCTGCTACGTTCTTGATAGTAGGAGTCACATACTTGTCACGGAAATATTGCTCCCACTCGTCCCGAGCTTCCGCTGTTTTTATATGTGCGTCCATATTAGGCTTGTCTGCCATAATCGAATACAGTATACTGTGTATTATTAAAGCTAAAGTTTCATCGTCACATGCAAGGAGAGTCTTTAAAATGGCCCAGTCGTTTGTTATATGATTACGACAGTAAGCGATCGGATCGTTTATTGGGTTTCCATTGGCATTCAAGAAGGCATTGACGTTTGGTGAAGGAGCTGACACACCAATCAAAGCGTGCACGAAAAGATGCAAAATTCGATATGCTGCTGACGTGAGAGCGCGAACGTTTCGCCGAGCGTCTTCCATCACATCCTCGACGATATAACCTGGTTTGTCTTTATTGCCGACATTATGCAAGATTGGTTTATCATCCAACCTCTGCTGACCAGCAGCTGGTACGCCGTATTGATGACCGCCCAGATCAGCAGCACAATCCGGGCATCGTAGCGCCATTACGACGTTTCCACAATCTGCGACAAAATATTTGTAGCCACATTTACATTGATATCTGTACAATTAACCCTATTAGTATCAATACAGTAAAGAAAGATGAAAATAAAAAGGAAAAAAAAAGCGTACCGAGAAATGGCGCTGCCAGCGTCAATTAGTGCATTGATGATCATAGTTTCCTCGTCAGAAGGACATGTCAGAATAAAGTGATCTCTTACAACCTGTAACCCTTGTAAGTATAAAGTCAATGGCGAAGATTCTGCTGGCAGCGACGCGTGCACTGCAATGATGTGGACGAGAACCAATCGCATTATAAATTCCGCGTTGTCCGTTTGTTGTCGAACAGCCAATAAAGCGTGATTATTGGTAATTAAATTTAAGGCCAAATGTTTATAAGATGCGGAAAACTCGTTCTTGTCAATTTGGTCTTGCAAGAATTTAGCAGCCTCATTTTCGTTATGGGTCATTTCGCGTGACGCTCTAATACCGTACAGATGGTTGACGATAATACCAATAAGGGCAATGCGTGAATTGAGACTTTCAGCTTTTAAAGCATTCTTCACAATAGCGTCTAATTGGTCCCTTTCTAACACTCTTGTCATTGCGGCATAGGCTTTTCCTGCATCACCGTATTCTTGAACTAAGCCGTAGGGGTTGAACGGAATTCGACTGGCCTCCTGATTAACGTAATCCCACGGCAGATCTGCCAGCCAAGGTAGCAAACCCTTCTGGACTATGCAGAATTTCTTGAGGTCGTCAATGGTAAAGCCGCGAGACCGAAGATTTTTCAAGAAATAAACTTTTAGCGAATGAATTTGTGGATGATTGAGTTCCATAGTGTTATTCAGGTCATCCATAAGCGTTTTGGTGTCGTCTGTCAGCATAAAATTAAGCCCAATTTGCTGAACGGTTGGCTTATCTAAACCAGCAGATTCCCAAAACTCCTGAACAAATTGTTTCAAAAGCGCAACAGAGCATAAACGTTGCAATGGTTCTGGCATTGTTCCACGTATTGCCTGAGACGCAGTATGGAAGAGTCTAGAAAGTACTTGGAAGTCTACTTCGTTAAAGAAATTCTGCTGAATGATGTCACAACAAAGTGTTATCATTTGGGAATTCGGATCATGCATCTTCAATCGGCTGTTAATAGCTTCTAGGCGTCTGGATTTTGCGAATGCATCCGTAGGACTTTGCACAAGTAATAGGAATATGTTATCACTTTCCATAACTTCCGCAGACAAGATATGAAGAATGACGGCCGTTGTAAAAGGCAATGGTTCTGCGGGTTGGAATATTTTATCGTAAAGGAACAGTTGAACTTCTGAACCGTTCTCAATCACATTTAAGAACCGTAACAAGAATGATTGACGTGAAGTCAGGTTCTTTTCTGTTGGCTCGAGATTGTCCAAAATGTTGAGTACATCGTTCAAGAAATTCGTGGAAAGAAAATCTTCATTGATAATGGTTGTAAGGCGGTCAACAGGAATAGCTTGCGTAGAAAGCAAATCATTACAAATTCTGAGTAGCTGGAATGATTTCACTTCGTCGTATCCGGGAAGTTGGACACAAAGAGACATAATATTGGTGACGTCCAGCTGCCACTTTATCGTCTTGTCATGAATGTCTTCTTCCCCAGGAAGTTTCCGTAGTTTATCCAGGAAAGTTTGAGACACTTCATTAATAATACGTTGTTCAAACGTTTTTTTCATACTCGTCGTGGCCGTCTAAATTCTCCATAATAGTCGGGCATAATGAAGCTAATTGCATTTGCGCCAAAACAGCATTTGATTTCGTCCACCAATATACGTGCAATCGGATAGGGTTCAAAATTTTGTCTTCACCCATAAGGCGGCTTAGAAGAGACTTCAGGATTCCGGTAACCTTGTCACCACCATGATTAGACGCAATAACTGTCACAAAATCTCTAAAGTAAAGCTCTGAAAAACGTCGCAGCGGTGCAGATCTAAGTGCTGGTAACGCCGAGAAAATTTTATCTTCGAATTTGTCATAATAAGCCTCTGCAACATTTTCATTGAGTTCGCCGTTTTCATTGACATTGTGTCCATCTTCCTCCAATTCGGCAATATCGTCAACATGTCTTTTCTTGAAGCTATTAATTTGGTTCATAAAGTAATACGAGAATGGGAAATGAAGGTCATGTAAGCCGCTAGCTATAGCATAGTTATCTGGTCCAGGCTCCTTGATCGCCTCAATGTCAATAATCTTCTTGTTTAGATACATATCCTTCCAGAATTCAATCAACTCTTCATCTTCCTTCAAATCGTCAGTGATGTTGAAGAACGTCAGGAGTGCGCAGTGCTTTTCCAATGCATATAATAACTGGGCAATGGGCTTCCTGACCAGGACACGAATATAAGCTAATAGAGCGCCTGCGAACGAAGAATGCAAGTAAATGGCACTTTTATCTGATGCCACACGTAACTGCCAATTTGGCTTAGTATTCTCGTCAATCCATTGCATAATTCTCATCTTCAAAATATTTACGAATGCTTTCTTGTTTGGAATTTCCTCTATCAATCGTCTTTAAAAAGCAATGGTTAATAATCGGCGACAGAAATATGGTAGTTATATTGACCTGTCGATACTTACCGAACATGCTCGATTGATTGTGAAGAATTTGGATATTTAATACAAAGTAGACACCATAATAATTCTTGTTGCAAGATCTCTTCGAAAGGATATGTTGAGTTAATTACTTCACTTAGATCGCCTTCTATGAGAGCAGACAGGTGTTTCTCTTGAGGCACTAAAGTCTCAATAGTTACTTGTTCCCACCCACACGTAAAGTTGAAGAAACTTGTGTTTATTTGATCCCTATGATGATGCAATATAATACATGCATGTTTTGCTGGCGTGTTTACATACTCATTACGTTGTCTTCTTGCAAAGTATTCGTTGCGCAATTGTTCAATAGTGAACTTTGCGAATCTAATACTACCCGCTCTTGTTGTTGATAGGTCACACTGCAGAAGGAGCAGCTCATCGTCGCTCTCAAACCAGAAATACTTGACTCTGTTCTGTAGTTGAGCCTCGGCCTTAAATGTCGATAGCTTGTCCACTTGACATTTCAAAAGTCCTTTCAAGCATCCCTTTACATCTGTGTTAATATTGCTAAATGTATGTATTATTAATTGATACCCTTCATTGTATAGAGACTTTGCAAGTAATGGTTCAAAATACGCTGCTATGTGATCGTGCCCCCCGTGGTTAAAGTAGGAAGTCCTCCATTTCATCACTTCATCCGGCTCTGTAGCTAACGCGGAATAAGTAGCCCTAACTAGACCATCAGATGACGCGATCTTTATCAGTCTTTCTTTACAGCGCTCTAAAATTTCCTCATCATCACGCGTCAAATTTTTCTTGCATTCGTCGATCACAAGACTCTGTAATGTTTCATCCTTGTCGTATCCAATAAATAGATCCGCTTCGGTAAATCCACCAGTTGTACTAATACCTTCCATCCTCGTTATTGTTGATATAGACTTGACCCATTTTTCAAGTTGAAGGCATAAAAGAGAATGCTCTTCCGTGAGTGTATCGTTCATAGTTAATCGTTGTTTTTCAAACCGATTCAAAAGATGAGGGTCTGCGTCATATACTAGTTTTTCATCAAAGACAAGGATGCATCTGAAATTCGGATGCACATAACACATTGGATTGGCGTAAGCTTCCAAAGCTACTCTTGTATAATATTTGGGGTCGTGTTTGCTACCCTGTGTTATGTAATTCTGATCCCACAGGTCATACAAGCTATCTAAAAATAAAAAATACGAAAAAATTATGAAATATTTTTAACAAATTCTTATATTAAAAAAGTCGAACCAACCATATATAATATCCAGATCAGTCAAGATAAGGGGTTTTCCTGCTTCAACGCACATCTACAAGGCGATATTTTAGCAAGTCGTGACCAAAAAACACATCGGCATGAGTAGTTTGCATGAGTAGTTGAAAGACTTTACCATAACTCTACTTAATACGCCATGAGAATAATCTCCTTCTGCATCGTCCGGAAACTGCGATCCGCAAAGAACCATAGGATCCATATCGAGTGACCTCAAATGATAAGTAAGGATGTTAACTATTGAATCACTTTTTCCGATTATCATTAAATGTCTGGCATCTTTCTCCTGAAGATTCCCGTCAATTAATTTTTCAACTGGTATTCGATCATAGCTGTAGCCGAACAGTCCACCGGATTCCTTCAATACGTTCCCAAAGTAATCTTCGCATATTACTTTCATTTGATCAGTGCCCCCGAAATTTCGTGCGAGGGCCAATTGTATTGAATCCACTAAGAAATTAACAAAGAGCGTTTAAATCACTGACTTAATTATCGTCAAAAGCATAATCACAACTTGACTCACTAGTAAGTTTCCCTCTGCTCAAACTTTTGACTAAAGCATAATAATCACGAAGACCTGTTAAAAAGCACAAAGAAATAATGTCAATACATGAAATCACAAAAGATGTTATCTAATAAGACATCTATATACCGTGGAAGTTGGGATATTTCTGGTTTTTTTGGTAATTTGCGTAGGCTTTGGCAAGGTTTTGTATATTGCGCCTGTTCATGTCAAATGATGGTCCGCGTTCGCCCTTCAACAAAAAAGAAAAAGCTATCTCCACAAGGTCCTTTTCGCTCAATTGAGGTCTCTGAACCAGTAATGCCCTACTCGATTTACTATTGTCCAATCTCCGATTACTTATACCGATTATCGACACCTCTGGTCCATCCTTAGGATAACTGGGTTCAAGCAGTGCATGTAAAACCTTCAAGGGATTAAATGGACTTGTTTCGGCTAGACCAACTCCATCTAAAAGAACTACTGCCTGTAAATTAAGGTTATCGGATTTGGACTTCTGTATATTTTCTGCTTTCCGGAAAACTTTCAGAATACCGTCAGATGTAGACAACGATGATCCTTGATGCGGAATTATAGCAACCTTAAAGCAAAGCCTATGTAAGAGGAGACATTCTAAACAACGTAAAAACGATATAATTACCTGTGGTAATTTTCTCAAATATTCATCATCAGAATCAGTCCCCCGAAGATTAGAGCTGACAAGTCTTATTGCTAAGGATTTGGAACTAGTGATTAACAATATATGTATACATTAGTACTGTCAAAAAAAATCGCATACTTCACAACAGGTAATCACCTTCCGGGTGCTCCAATAATAAAAGCAGGAGTTCTTGTCATAATGCAAACGATCATTACAAGCACATTTTCCAACAGTGCCTCAGTAAGGGCAGTAGCGGGTGGACGTGCCATTCTGCGTATCCAATCATTCTGCTCCTCCTTAAGATATCGTTTAAAGTCTTCAGCGGTCAGATAAACCTTGTGTTTCCCGAAAATACGAGCCATCTGTTTACGATACTCTTCTCTCTCACCCTGATCGTAAAGCCGAGCTTGATAGCAAAGTCCCAATGATAAAACAATGCAACGCTCGAAAAAGTATCTGTCTTTGGGAGGATAATTGTTAATATTATATCCCCCGTCATAGTGATGTTTGCTTTTCCTCTTCTTTTTTTCATCCTCCATCAACTTAAGCCTATCTTGGAGACTTTTGTGAAACCAAATAATCAATCTGATGGCTCTTCTAACGTCTCGCAAGCTTACGCTTTGAGGTCCTTCGATCTTACGTATGTACATTTGCGACTCAAACAGCAAATCACTTATGACGCCAACCTTACTTATTTCGTTCTCAACCATAATTTTAATATACATCTAAGTAATAGAACAAACCTATTAGTTAGTAGCTCTATCATGAGATTAAACGTACTTTTGTAGGCACCTACCCGTTCATCTTCAGGTTTGAGCACATCAAAATCCCAGACATAGTCAAGAATTTGATCAGGAAGAGGATCTACTTGATAGACAAGTTGACTTTGCTCTTGATGGACTCGTCTTTTCGCTAGCCCTGCTACATTATCATTAACTACGCGTAATCGATAAGGATTACAAGCAGCAAACAGACGAATGTTTGAATGTATTGGCTTTCCTAACAACGTTCTGTGAGCTATGAGATCCGCCAAAAGACCAATGTGGTTGCAAGTGTTGAATTCATCAAAAAATAACCACACTTCTCCTTTTCCAGCAAGTTCATTTCCTTCGCTCATGAACATAAGAATCTGACTCTCAACAATACCGGCATGCAGTGAGAGGTTACAGAACTTGACACCCACAACCTCGGCCAAATAACCAATCAAACTCGTCTACAGAAGCCAAATATCGATTATTATATAGTTTACTGGAGATATAAACATTAATCACAAACTAGTAAAGAATCTTACCTTGCCGCATCCAGCTTCCCCACACACCACAACCGGTATGCTCGCACGTGCTCGCAGTAATATTAATGCCATTTTTATAAGATTGTCAGCTGATAAGGCATAAGGACGACGAAATTTTTCCCTCAATATAAAGGCGATACATTGCAGCCGTTCTTGAGTTATCAGCTCGCGACATTTTTCTAATTTCTTTTGAAAACCATCTGATGAAATATTAAAAAATCTTATGTGAGGAATACAATCAGATATAACTGCTCCGACTTTTGAGAAATCTTCAGACGACCAACGAGATTCATTTACAAGTTCTGGAATTTGGTTAATAGCCCATTGTATGATTGATGTCCAAATATCAATTTCTTCCACGTTCAGCTCATTATTTTTGAGAAGAGTAATCAAGGCTTCTTTTGGTAGATTCATCAAATTGTCGGATTTGAAAACAACCTCTGGTGATGATACCATAATGTTGTTGCAATAATCTAAAAGATTTAATAAATTTGAAGATGAGGCACATTTGTGGATTGCAAGAAGATTGTGTTCCATCCATTCTTTCTGATGGTTGATCAAATGGTCTCCAACTGCGGCAACAAATTTATTTAATTCGAATCTGCAAGAGACATCCAAAAGGCTGATCCAATCTATAACTTCACCTGGACTGAAACTCACTTTTCCTGTGTAAATAAATCTATACACAAGGCAAGTCAATTAGTGGAGCCAATAGCTAATGAGAAATGACTGTATTAGTATTAGCTAGTCTTGGTTAAACAGACATTTACCTGAGTAAAATTTCAAAAGTTTCGGACGTTACATCTTCAAACGCCATAACCGTCCGTTGAGACCCTTCTGTACTTTCAGCTATCATCCTCCCAAAATACGTGCTTCTCGTACACAATACCGCGGCATGAGCAAGAAAAATTTTGTTGTTTGGCTCTTTGCCAACATTGATCGAGATATCTGTATATTTGTTACTTTCATAAAGCTTCTCGTACTCGGATGAAAGATCCGAAGATAAATCAATAGTTACAGTCATGCCGGGGAATTGTGCATGCAACCGGCTGCTGTCTAATTGATAAGATTTGTGTGACGTTTCGTGTAACCTATTTATATTATGTAAAAATAAGCGTACCGTTAATTTTGACTGTTCATATTTTTAGAGTAGGAATAGTTACATAAAAATCAATATTCGAAGAGGTCTAACTTTAACTTGAGGCTTCTGTCCGACTACCAACATAGTAATAGCATCGAAAATTGATTTACGAGTAATCAATACCTGCAAATTCATAATTTTGAAAATTTGTGACATAAACCCTTGTTATTGTTGCCAGTAAATGAAGTTAAAAATTGCGCACGCAGTACAGTATTTTTATTATGCTTATTAAATCTATTGATGTTACGTGTACTGTAAACGTCGAAGCGGCACTCTTGAGTTTAGCCATTTTTAAACGTCAATAGAGTGAAAGTCCGTGACCCGTAAACTAGGTATTACTAACTCACGACTTGTGTCGGTCACTATACAATAATCCTAGTAGATGATTATGCGCCCTCGAGTGAATCGTCTGGTGAGATTAATTCGGAACCTCTAGTGTGGAAGATTTGTGGGCAATACTTTTAATTGATTAGCGATTCCCAATTGCATCAACCGGTTATCAGGAAAATAAAAATCACTCGAGTATAAATTAATCGTTTATTAGAAAGAAACTTTATTGGATCATAACTGCAAACATGATAAATTTCTGCAGAAAATCAAACTGATATCTAAAACTTGTGCTCACAACACACCTAAGTTGTTTGATATAGGTACACTTACTCAGGAATTTTCCATTGGACCTGTACAGAATACAAATATCAACGCAACATCAACTTTGATATAGCTACTGAGCTAAGCCCTATACATGTTAGCTTGAGAAAGCTCTATTTAGCACATTATCTTAATAAAAACGTACCAGACATATGTCATAATTCATTTGCAATACAGTCAATATCCCAACTTGCATAATAATAATGTAATGCAAACAAGTCAGAAGTATTACTTAATTTTAGTCACTTGAAATACTTCCCAATCTGCCCACTCAAATATATCTGAACTAGACCTTATGGCAGTTCTGTATGTATCTTGCCTATCACAAGCATTCAAAATAGGTCCCCAGATGCTTTTGGGCGCTCTCACTAGTTCATCGAGTCAATCTAATTTGGAAATCAGTTTATCGTTGGCTAGACAGCGCTCAGCGGCTATATTACGAAAACGGTAATTCACTGTCCTCTATCACAAACCATCACGTTTATGTCCTTAAAAGGGGGTAGGCTAAAGCGGAGTAGTTTATGCCACACAGCAGGTGCCACAAATTGACTAAGTGCCACAATCAGTATTGGT